ATGCAATCCATCCCTCCCTCTGCCTCGATCCCCAAGCAACCACTGGACTGTTTTCTTTAACAATAGATTAGTTTTCATTTTAGAAAATTTCATATAAACGGAATCATATGGGATGTTCTCGTGTCTGGCTTCTTTCAGTTAGTATAATGATTTTGAAATTCATCCATGTTGCTGTGTTTATCAGTAGTCTGTTCCTTTTTATTGTATGGATATATTTTTTGTTTGTCCATTCACCTGTTGGTGAATTTGGGTTGTTTCCAGTTTGGGGTATTACAAAAAAGTCGGCTATGAACATTTCTATGTGGCCCTTTGCTTTCACTTCTCTTGGGTAAGTACAAAGAAGAGGAATGGCTGGGTGGTATGATAGGTATATGTTTAACTTTACTCATTATGGCGTTTATTTGCATTTCCCTAATGATAATGTTGAGCATCTTTTCATGTGCTTATTGGCCATTCACATCTCCTTTTGTGGAAGTGTCTGTTTAAATCTTTTGTTCATTTCTTAATTGGGTAATTTTACTTCTTATTCTTGAGTTGTATGATCTCTATTTATTCTGGAATTCTGGACACAGGTCCTTTATCAGATATGTTTGTCAAATATTTTCTCTCTGTTTGTGACTAGAAATTTTATTTTCTTAAGTGTCTTAAGAGCAAAAGTTTTTAGTTTTGATGAAGACCAATTTATCAATTTTTTCTTTTATGGTTTATGCCATTTGTGCTCTAAGAAATCTTTGCAAACACAAAATCACTAAGATTTTCTCCTGTTTTCTTCTAGAAGTTTTACCTCCTATGTTTATGTCTATGTATGGGGTGAAGGTGAAGGTTCACTGTGTGTGTGTGTGTGTGTGTGTGTCTAGTTATTATGGCACCATTTTTTGAAAATCCGTGGCACCTTTGTTGAAAATCAGTTTACCATACATGTAGCGTTTATTTCTGGATTCTCTATTCTGTTTCATTGATCTATATGTCTGTCTTTGCACCAATTATCACTGTAGCTTTATAAGTTTTAAGATCAGGTAGTATAAGTCCTCCAACTTTTGTTCTTGTCCTATAGTTTGGGCCAAAGCATTTCCATATACATTTCAGAATTAGCTTGTCAATTTTGACAAAAATTTCAGATGAGATTTTGATTGTGTTGAAACTAGAGACAAATTTGGGAGCACTGACATCTTAGTATTATCAATATACAACCATGTTATGGCCCTTCATTTATTTAAATCTTTAATTTTTCTGAATACTCTTTTATAGTCTGGGGCAGAGATATTGCACATCTTTGGACTTATTCCTAGGAATCTGATATATTTTGCTGCTGCTGTAAATGGTATCTTTTTAAATTTTCTTTTTCTAATTAATGTTGCTGATATATAAACCTTGCAAAATTAATACATTAATTCTAATAGTTATCAGTAGATTCTTTTGAATTTTCTACATGCATAATTATGTCATCTGTAAATAATGACAGTTTTCTTCCTTTCCGATCTTCATTCCTTTTTCCTCTTTCCTGACTTTACTGCACTGGTCATGCTCTCCAGTACAATACTGAATAAGAATTGTGAATGCAGCCATCCTTGTCATGTAACTGATCTCAGAGAGAAAGTGTGGAAGGCACAATAATAGCCCCCAAAGATATCCATATCCTAATCTCCAGAACTTGTGAACATGTTACATGCAAAGGGGAATTCAAATTGCAGATGGGAATTAAGGTGGTGTAGCAGGAGGCCTTAAAATAGGGAGAATGCCTAGACTCTCCAGGTGGGCCCAATGTAATCACAAGGGTTCTTAAAAGTGCAAGACGGTGGCAGAGTGATACAATAAGAAAAGGATTCAACCCGCTGTAGCTGGCTTTGAAGATGGAGGAAGAGGCTACAAGCCAAGGAATGTGCAAGGCCTCTAGAAACTGGAAAGGACAAGGAAACAGACTCTCCCCTAGAGCCTCCAGAAAGGAATGCAGCCCTGCTGACACCCTGATTTGAGCCCAATGAAACCTGTACCAGACCTCTAACCTGCAGAACTCTAAGATAATCAGACTGTGTTGTTTCAAGCCACTAAAGTTTGTGGTAATTTATTACAGCAGCAATAGAAAATGAATACAGAAAGCCTTAGATTTTCCAACACTAAATATGATGTTTGCTGTAGAGTTTTTATGGATATGTTGTCTATTTGCTCTTGTGTTCCTTCTAGTTTATTTCTAAACATATTTGTAACTCTAGTAGTTCCTCTGAGCTCCGTCAGCTCTCATTTTATTTCCTCCTGTTGCTTCCCCATCTAATTTCTGAACTTTTCCAATTTTGATGTTATATTGTTCTTTCTTAGCTTCTATCACTTCTTTAATTTCTTCAACATTTTAAAAAATATTAGATTACTGTTTTCCTCTGCTTCGTAAATGTTTCTGAGATATCTTGGTTTTCTGTGGGTATGTTATGCAGATTGTCATCCAGTTTTCTTAGAGCATATTGTCAGATGTGATCACGCGTTAGTGAGATGGATTTTCTCATCTTTTCGTTCCTATATTTTTAGATTCCAGTGTAGGAGGTGAGGTGGGCCAGGGCAGTTTCCTAGTTTCATGGGTCCAGGGTTCTCGCTTCTGTGGTTAATACAAAGTATTAGATAACATGGGTTTCTGTGTCCCTCTTTAGTATTTTCTGAATTCTGTCTCTTTTGGTCCCCTCTTCAATCAGTATCTGAACCTTCTCTCCTTTACCCCGAGTCCTTCCCTTGTCAGTGTGTTCTATACCCAATCATTTCTCTCAGAGCAGGCCTAGGTGCCCTCACTGGCTCCTCCTGGGAACCCTGAAGCCCACGTTGCCCAGTACCCTCATACCTTTCTGCAGCGTCCTTTTACTAGCTGCCAGCTGAATGCTGGACAGCCCTCTCCCAGTTTTGGTTGTGGTTTTTGGATCCACCAGTTGAGACTGCTACCACTACTGGGGACTCCTCCTTTTGGGGCTGAGTACATGTTGGCAAATTCCGGGTTCTTTGGCTTGTGGGACCATCACAAGTCCCCCTTACCGTCCCTCTGCTTGCTCCCCCAAAATTGCTCCTCCCATGTGACCTTGTTCCATTGATGGTTTTAGCCCAAACTGCTCATTTCTGAGATTCATAGGGATATTCTATCACCTAATTTTAGTGAAGATGGTGTCGCCATGTTTTTTCTTTTACTATCCTAGTTGCTCTATGGTGATTTGGGGAGATTAAAAAACTACCCACTGGTGCTGCTATCCAGCCTCCTATAATTAATTTTTGATTTTTTATTTTAAAATGATATGTATTTTTCTATTTACATTATAATGCCCAAGACAGGACTAGGACAGACTATGGTAAGTAACAAATAAATGCAAAATTTTAGTCACTAAACATAAGCACTTATTTCTTGCTCATGTCACAGTCCAATGCAGTCAAAAGGCTCTCCTGGTAGCTTTCCAGGCCGTGACTCACATGCCCTGGCTGCTTCCATTGTGCAAATTCTTTGTTTATAGCCAAATGGGAAGAAAAGAAAGTGGTCAATTATGACCACTGATTCTATGTGAGCTTTACTGTCAGGCCTAGAAGTCACCTGTATTGCTTGTCCCATCTCACTAGCCAGAACTTAGTCACATGGCCCCACACCAACCACAAGAGAGGCTTGGAAACAGAGCAACACTGAGCATCTCTGCTATAATTCTGTACAGCTGCCCAAGTGACTCTGGGAAAGAAGGTGGACTATAAAACATAAGACACCACCTGTCTCTTCATATATATGTAATAGGATTTAAGATGTAATCTGATCAAAGAACATGTCATTATCATCTTTTAATAAGGTTTTAATTCTATTAGTACAGAACTTTAAATTTAAAAAATTTTTGTGAATGAAATTACTTTCAAGTCTGCAAAAAACAATGTTTACACAGTCTCTAATTGCTGAAAAAACTTGGGAAGAATAAGGCAGCATATGATTAACTAAAATTAAAATGTTTCCAATTATAAAGGTTCCAGTTAAATATGTCTTTTGGAATTATAAAGAATTAAATGACACCACTAATAAATGAAGTAAGAAAATGATAGTTTGGCATCATTTATAAACATAAATGTGTTTACAACATTCTAAATATTCAATATACATACTTCAGGAGAAATCTAGCCTTAAGACAATGATTTTTATTACCTTTAGTCTACTATGTTTGACACTAAAATATACTTATTGAAAAAAGTAACACAATATTTAAATAAGAACTAACTTCATGAAAATTTATAAAATATAACCAATGTACTCTGACTTGTAATCATATCTTAAATATTTCAACTTTACTCTTCTGGCCTGGTCAGACCATTTAAAAATATTTCCACACTATTTTAATTTTAGGACGTAACACAGTAGCAACTTACTAAGTTTTCCATTATAAAAATTAATATAGCAATTCTCAAAATACTGAAAAAACTTTTAGAAAAGCAGTACCCACATCATAACAACTTATTTCTTTTAGAAGACATCTTCAAAAGGCACATTTTAATTACTAGTGTTTATCTAAAGATAGTAGCTTAAGTGTTGAATTTCCAGTCAATTTTCCATTATCTCAACATTAAGATCATGGAGGGTCAGGGGAGGTAGGAGAACACAGGTTTCCAATGGACTTTACTAGGACAGCAGTATCTCTCTCATCACATCCACGAAGACCAAGAGAAAGATGGGAAGGAACGGAGAACTGCAGATCTGTCTTGCACCCTAATTTAACCTCCAGGAAATACTTTTTACACAAAAATACTTAATTTAAAAAAAAGTCACAAGACAGAAAAGCTTAAAAAACAAAAGGCCAAGACCATAAACTGCCCAGTTTAGTCTGAGTGGTGATGTGATTTTTTTGGAACCTGAAGAAGAAGAGAATGAAACTTCTGCTTCTTTGGAATCACATCTTCATATCAGTCTTATCTCAACTTAAATCACCTGGTGAGTTAAAAGTGCTACAAATTCCCAGGATACCAGACATACTGATATTCAACATCAAATATAAATGACTTCATGGTTATCTCTGTCATGTTCCCCTTTAATTAGGGCTGATATTCTAAAGTTGAATGTAATTATAATAACATCAATAATTTCAAGTAACCTACAATACTACTATTATTTTTTAGAGCTTATGTCCTACAACCCCAAAATGCAATCCAAAATACACTTGGGGGTATGGTTTACTTTGTGAAATTTAATTCTAACTGAAGTAGTAAATTCAACAAGATTAGTTCTCTGAAGTACTAATCATAAGTAATTGATCAATGCAAGAAACAAAAGGGAATTTTTAATGCTATTATGGAATTTCAAAAGATTAGGGATCTCCTTAATTTCATGTTATTCCCCTCAAGTCTCAGTTGAATGTTTCCATTTTTTAAAAAAAGGCTGTCTTTAGTCTTTTTTTTCCTCACTATAACAAAATAATTGACCAAAAATATCCTGAAGTACAAACAAGAAAACAGTCATCTGTTACTTAATCAAGATATAGTTTTCTGGTCCCTAACAATGGTCACTTTAGGGGCACTTATTCAAGTTCTAAAATAGCAGCTTTTTAAATTAAGGCAACATTGCTTTATTCTTACCTGTTTTTCTATTAACTACTCTTAGAGTTCGTAAGAGCAGTTTCACCCTCAAAGGACTTTTATAATGTAAGAAGAGTTAACATGAACATTCTTCTCAATGTTTAAAAAGCATATAAAAAGTTATTGTATTCAAAGTCAACAAATATCTTATTTTTCTATTAAGAATTCTAAAGTAATTACAGTCACATCAGAATGTATAAACCATGAAATTACCTTTTAAACTAACAACATAAAATACAATTTTTCTACAAAAATACAATATAGGAGATATATCACTTCTTCCCTGAAATAGAAATTTAATATTTGGACAAAAAAACTGTAAACTTTTGATTACATTCAAAAGATAACCTTTTAAAGACTTATATTATTTGAGGTTTTGGCAACTGGAGTTCCTAACAGCAGACTCACATTACTGCAACATTTTAACAACACGATAACACCAAAGAGTCTGTTTCTCTTACTCTTACATCTGCTACCAGGAGGAAAAAAATGGCTTCCTGCAATGGACAGTCTGGGTGAAGAAATTGCTGAGGTGAACAATCCGACCCTGATTTCCACCTTGACTGCGCTCCACAATCACGCAAGGCATCTGTACCAGCTGGACAGGGCTCTTCCCATCTCTCAATGCCTGAGTCAGATTTAAGATCTGTGGAAAGAAGAGATATTTTCACCAGTTCAAAAAAGATAAAAACCTTCAGTTCATGGACATTATTTTAACCATTTATTCATAACTACAATTTTTATTTCATCCATTTATGCCTAATAGAGATTGTGATAAGTAACTGCTATAAATATATATTATATGGATATATGTATGTTTATACATACACATACATACATAGGTTGATTTATACACACAACTGCACAAAATTAGAATTAAATAACTTTTGCCAATTGGTAACTTTAAAATATTCTAGGATGCACCTATGTCCAGGAGCAATGGAATCAGAGATTGAATAAAGTAATGGTTCCACATACTCCATTTGACATAGAACCTAAACAAATACTCGTTTAAATAGTTTGATTTTAACTAAATACTTGACTTATCCACTCATTTAACAAATAAATTTATTGCATGCCTACTACATGTTAGACTTTGTTCTAAGTGCTGAAGATACAAGAGTAAAAAAACAAAGAAAATTCCTGCTTTCATAGAGCTTACATTTTAGCAGTGGGAGGAGTCAATAAACATTATGAATAAGTAAATTATACCATGTTTTGGAGGGTAAAAGTGCCATGGGAAAGCATGACACAAGGCGAGTGGGTTAGAGAATTTGGGAAGGTAGCCATTTAAAATAAAGTTTTATTTAAGAGTTTACTCTTAAATAGGAAAACTAAAACTAGGAAAAGTAAAATATATTACATTCCATGTTTAAACATACTCTTGGAATTGCTACTTGAGCATATAAATAAGGTTATGAAACAACGCATAGCTTACAGCCTATTCTCCTCTGTTCAGATAAAATAAAATTTTAATAATTCATTTTCCTTTTTCCTGCATATCAGGCAAAAAATTCCCTTTGTTAGGTACTTTAGAAATAAGGATATCTCCTTCAGGTATTTGGAAATATCTAATACATGGATGGTATGCATTTTACTGGTTCTTGTAAAGGCTATTTAATAGTGATAAGCATAAAGGTTTCAACATAAAGCCATACTAATAAATAAACTTCATAATACTTTGACTAGTATAAACTAGATGGTTTAGATCCTAGAAGATTTGAAGTATTTAACACATCAGGAAAATAAACCTTTACTAGCAACAGTAGTTACTCATTGTATTTATGTTTTAGGATCTCTTGTAAGTTCTTCTCTTAAAATCTTCTAGGCTGAGTATATGTGGGTAACAAGGCAAAAAGAATTTATGAAATTTACATTTATAAGCATTGTTCTTACCACGAAAATAAAATGTGGGCACCAGCATGGGCTAAGGAATGAAACATTCTGGTTAGTTTCCTCTTCTAGTTTTAAAAATTCTATTCTACAAATGTTAGTCTAAACACACTAATTTAAGTAACATCTAATATTTTCCTGACTCTAAAAACAATACATGATTGTTGTAGAGAACCTGGAAAAAAGAATAGTACAAAGATAATGAGAGTCATTCTACAAGATTAACAATTTTCATATATATAATAGCAAAAATCATTCAATCCTAAAGCTATCCTAAATATTAATATTTCTTTGAGAGTTAAGAAGACACTTGATAAAACATAAAAATATCTAGTAAAGGGTCAAGTAGTCAGGAGGCACTAGAGTTAGTTTCATTTTTTTTACATTTTTTTTTTTTACAAGTTTTATTTATTTATTTATTGTTTGTGAGGAAGATCAGCCCTGAGCAGACAGCCAGGCCAATCCTCCTCTTTTTGCTGAAGAAGACTGGCCCTGAGCTAACATCCGTGCCCATCTTCCTCCACTTTATGTGGGATGCCGCCACAGCATGGCCTGACAAGCAGTGCGTCGGTGCAAGCCCGGGATCCGAACCCGGACCCCAGCAGCGCAGCGTGCGCACTTAACTGCTACACCACGGGGCCGGTCCCTCCTTTTTTTTTTAACATCAGTTATTACTGAATCTGCAAATAAGCTTCTGGTTTATAAATCACTGAATAGAAGAAGGTCACCATGTATTTATAAAAACAGTTTTATTTATTATTTATGCCATTTTTTTCAGATCATGTGTAAAATATATTTCACATTTCCCATAAATAAGTATTTTCTGAGGTCCAGTGTTCCAAATAAGCACAGGTACAATGAAAAATGAATGATCTTACTGAACCTGATCATGACCTACTACTATTTAATGTAAAATTCAAAACATGGTTTATCTTGAACTTTCATAAACATTACTAGTCCCAGATTTTAAAAGAACTGCCTTCCTACTAGTTCCTAGTTCCAGTTCACACCTTTATGGGAGAATTAGAGCATGTCATTGATTATGTGCGTAAAACTAAAGACTTGATAGTAAGTAAACTAGGGCAAAAGCCTTGGTTGTACACAGCACAAATCATGAAGTTAACTGGGAAAACTGGAGGGGAGACAGATTTAAAGGATAATTATAAATGATGGAAATAACACAAGTACTTTGACCGAATTAAAGAACTAGCTGAAATACTGAATCTGTTGTTTGGAACATATGTTACTGCTATCTGTTTTTGTTAAATCTCTGTTTCATAAGCACTGATTTACTTTAGAAAATAAAATATCTGATTTTTCACATCAGATTTTTTAAAAAACAGTTAAAACCAGAGAGCTACATAATCACATAGTTAGGGTACCTTATCCTTTTTGGCTACCAGAAAGGTCAAAACCAAATTAAAATTAAAAAAAAAAAATCAAATTAAAACATATAACCATTTTATGTTTTTCTTTCCCCAGATCTTGATCTTGTCATTTTTATATTTTATTACCTGCATTTGTATAATACTGTAACTCCTCTGTGAATGACACAGGATATCAATAAATAAACCAAAAGTAGCAGATAGGTGCTGGTATATCTTTGTAATAGACTTCAAAACTGGAACGTGCCATATCTTTTCAGATAAGCACTTTTTAATTTAAATTTAAATTCCTCATGTACTAACTTTAATCAATAATTAAAGCTTACAAAATAATGTACAGCTGTTATTTTTTTAAAAAATCCTAAGATAAAGATATATCTTTAGGAATAAGAGAATTCCAGAAGATGGAGCATATTGGTGAGTCAAGTCAATTTGTTTCAAGCAAAAAGGTCAAATTAGGGCAAAATCACTTATCTATGCCTGCAAATTTAGCTCAAATATAGTTTGGGATGGTAATACTCTCCTACATAATTACAATCATTCATCACCTAAGCCCTTCATTCATGCCTGAATTACCAAAAATGCCTCCCCACAAGGCTCCCTGGCTCTAGATTCTTCATCCACTGAGCAAATCTGAACCCCACTGTCCAGCCTAACCTTCTGCAGTGGTTCTTAATCTTTGTTGGGCTAGGAATGCTTTTTGCTGAGATATAAATCCTATTGCCCTGCAGGCCCCAACTGCACATATAAACAGAACTTAGTGCACAATTTCAGGGAGTTCATAGAAGAAACCGAGGATAAAATCTCCTCTCCAGAAATGCCACTCTCATCACAACCCTTTTTAATGCTAAATCTCTAACTGCTCCAATTCCTTCCACATGGAATCTATATTCTAGCACTTAACGCCCTCCACGATCTGGCTCTGTCTTACTTCTCCAGCCAATTCACTTGCTATTCACAACTCATGAGTCCAGCAAAGCAGTGCATAAATGCAACAGAGCACAGAGACGTACAAGCTAATAATCCATCCCTTTTCCCTGACTCCTGGTCTCCTCATCAGAGCAAGAGTTCCATGAGAGGAGGAACTGGGTTTTGCTCACTGCTTTATCTCAATCACTAGAACAGTTTCTGGCACTAGTTCTGTCAATCAATATTTGATGAATGAATCATTACCTAATTTAACTATATTTGTTTGTTAAAGTTATATAATGTAATAATCAATGCAAAAACTAGACTTGTCTTCTTTGCCACAGATATGCAGCAAATGCTATCTTAAATGTATATTTTAGGAAGAAAAAGTTAATTAGTAAGTCACTGAAAGAATGTTGACAGTATAATTTATTTTTATTTCAAGTCTTCCTTTTAGAATCTAAATACTATTAATAGAGTGGAAGAACCAGATGTCATCTGTAGGTCAGCCGGCCTGCAGGTCCACATCAACAGACCTTATTTATACCTTGTATCTCTAATTAAAGGAGGTGAGAAGGGGTGAGAGGACTGAGTTACAATTAGTACTTTTATGCCCCAATCAGTGCTCAACCTTGGTGACATGGTTATTTACTGACTGCTCTAGCAAAGGCCAATCATATTCCATAAGGAAAATAATTAACAGGCCACAGAACTTGGCATTGAAACATCCAAGCAAGTAGATTTAAGGAGGAAAAAGATAGCACTCAGGAAAATAGTTATCAAAATGAGGACAAAGAATTCACAGTAGGCGGAAACTGCCTATCTAACAATATACAAGGTCAAAGATATCTAATTTTATAAGAGAATAGAGGAAAGATACTATTGAAATCAACTTCATTTCTAATCATCTGAGCTATTTTGGTTCAGCATAAAAGATACTATTGAGAGTTGCATCTTTGGGTCACAATAGAGAAGAAAGTTGACTACTATTTCAAAGAGAGATTTTTTTTCTTAATGAACAAGAGCATAAAAAGGTGACCTACCTGACCCCTCATCACAGACATTTGACTTTCAAAAGTGGCTTTGTCAAATCCTTTGTCAGTCTATCACAGAAAGAAAAAACACATTATTATAATTCCAAAAGTCAAGATCTTTGAAACACATATTTGAAAACAAATGAACACTTCAACTTAGCACATAAGGTCATTAGAAAGCTTTCCCAATGATAAAATAACATGAAAAGAGTATTTTTACCTGATGTATTTTTGAATACCCCTAGAATGACAAGAATAGTTTATTTATACTCCAACTGGTTCCAGAAAGCATTTAAAATGACTTTCCAGCCAACGGGTTTAGGCTTTTTTGAGAGAATTAAATCATAGCAGGTCACCAAACATTTATTATAATTTATAGAGTAATTTTGTAAAAATTCAACTTTTGAAGAAAACAACTTCTCCAGTTTTAATGTAGTCTCACTCAAAAGAATACAGGAAGGAATTGTAACTTCAGGAAGTGTAACTTCACAAATTTATGCTCCGATAGAGTAAAACTGCTAATTTCTTTCTGTTATGTCAGGTTCTACTGCAAGCAGTGATATCAGAAGCAGTAAATTGAAAATTAGCTCTATTATAAAAATCTCTTCTAAGATTTCATTTTCTACAATAATTAAAACTAAAAATTTATTTACCTTAAAAAGTTCATAAAGATCTTCACACAAATCTTGCACGAAGTTCATGTCAGAAATATATGGTAGAATCAAGTTTCTTATTTCTTCAGAAAAAGGAACTTTTGCTTGAGGAAGCCAAGCCCAGTGAAATGGATCTAACAGAAAAAATTATTATTCTTCTAATCAGTGGGGGTAAATAGTATATTTAGACCCACATTTATCCTGGTTCTTTCCTACAATTATCCTTTACCATCTAAAGTATTTGGATTCTAAGTCTGGATGATCAATTTGGATGGTAAAGCACAGTAAGGTATTATCTGAACTAATTTCTGAGTTTTAAATAGTAAAGAATAAGTTTTGATAATGAGTCTATCTCAAATAGCCCTATATCAAAAAATATATCTGATTCTCTGGTTCCTGATTTTGGAAATTGAGGGATATCTACAATTTGTTCCCAGCCCCAGATCAAATACCATGCCTGAGGTCTCCCTGCCCTTCCAGCCACAAATCATCAGGAATCGACCACTTATTTGTGTGTGTATGTGTGTGTGTGCGCGCACGCGTGCGTGCACATGTGTATGATGTTGTAAAATTTTAAATCATTAGTAGATAAATAGGTGAGTGGCTTTAAGGGATAAAAGATCCAAGACTCTGGGCTAACTCTGGTTCTCTCCCTAAGGGCTATTAAATCTACACATGCCAGGATCAGAAAGATTTGTAAAGTAATAGAATCTTCTAGAGAGGGTGCATATACAGATTCCTGCAAGAATGTATAAGGCTACGACAATATGATCACCCATAAAACCACTGGGGTACCTCCAATGAGAACCTCCAGCTTTGATGGCTCCTCTCATTTAGAAAGCCCTGAGGAAGAAATCTGCCTTTATTTAGAGTCATTCCTTCTTACTTCTCTCTTATCTATCTCTTTGTACACTGTGGGAAGGACACATTCCATTAGGAAGAAAGCCTTTCCTCTAGCCCATATCTCCCTGGAGCTATGTCCAATTTCCTTTTTACCTTTTCCCAACCAATTACATAAAAGAAAAGTCCTTATTCTATGCCTGCCTCTATTTCCAATCTCTATCCTTCAACTTTTACTATCACCATTCAAACTCTCTCCCCTAGACCACCTCATAAGGGTCTCTCCAAAGGCCCATTTGCAGTACTCATGGTACCTAATGTCTTTGTAGCAAGTTTTCTATCATCTCCCTCTGTGAAATTCTCTCCTATGTAGCTTTGAAGATACCACTCTCAAAGTTTAACTTCTGTCTTTTAAGCCACTTCTCTCATTTGCTGTCTTATCCTCTCACCTTCAATGTTACCTTCCCGCAGACTCTATACTTAGTCCTTTCTCTTCATTACTAACCATTCATGAAACAGAGTACTCATGTACCTCGAATTGTCCTAGTGATGGTATTTGTTCACCATGATTTCCCTGGGTGATAGCAAACACCACCATGGCTTCCACTACCAAGGTGACCGTTTAAGAACTATACCCTCAATACCATCTCTTCTTTAAAGTTCAAGACTCTTGGGCCAGCCCCGTGGCTTAGCGGTTACGTGCGTGCGCTCCGCTGCTGGCGGCCCGGGTTCAGATCCCAGTCGCGCACCAATGCACCACTTCTCCGGCCATGCTGAGGCCGCGTCCCACATACAGCAACTAGAAGGATGTGCAGCTATGACATACAACTATCTACTGGGGCTTTGGGGGGGAAAAAAAAAAAAAGTTCAAGACTCTTAATCCCTACTGTGTGTTTGGTAAAATTTCCCAGATGTATTGTAGGCACCTTAAACTTATCACTTTTAAAGTGTAATTTGCATATAGATTCCAGACCGTTAGAGGAAAAAAAATGGAACAAAGACATCTCAAGTTAGTTCAACAAAAGACAGGAAAGGAAAAAAAGGAAAAATTGGAATTCATGGAAAATAGAAAAAAAATTAGATGGCAGGAAAAGTTCAAACACATCAGTAGTTTACTGAAACTTAAACTAAATGTACCTATTAAAAGAATCTCAGATTGGGTAAAAAATATCCAGCTAAGTGCTACATATAAGTCATATGCTTAAAAAAAATGCTAGAAGTTAAAAATACAAGTATAGAATAGTATCAGGTAAATGCTAATAAAAAGAAATGAAGTATAGCAATGCTATAACAAAATAAGAAAAAGCAAAAAACCATTAAAAGGGATAAAGTGGGATATAAGTCACACTGATAAAAGAACAAGCCACCAGCAAGATAAAATGCTGGGCCTTTATGTGTGTGAAATACAAAGCAAAAAATGTATAGAAATGCAAGAAGAAATTGACAAAATCACAATCACAGTGAACTTTAACATCCTCTCAAAAATGAATAGATTAAGTGGTCAAAAAATAAGAATATGATTTGACTAACAATTAACAAGCTTTAATTAGCAGACAGATACAGAACTTTGTGCACCAACACATTTTTTCAAATACAGTCCTTCAGATAGGCCATATATCAGACAACAAAGGAAATACTAACAAATTTCAAAAAGCAGAATTCACACAGCGACATTCATAGCTCACAAAGTGATAAAACTGGAAAACAACAATGGACAGTTTTTTTTTTAAATCAACTCACCTAGAAATTTTAAAATTAAAATACTTCTAAATTACTCCTGTCAAAAAGAAAATCTGAAAGTATGACTATGTAAAGCGTAACAACAAAGCAACACCTATCCAATCTTTGGTTTAGCCAAAATGATAGCTCGGAATCATATATAGGAAAGCAGTACAGGATAAACACAATAGAAGAAAAGAATAATGATGGAAAACATAAATCGATGAAAGAGGAAAAGCAAACAAACTAAAAACCTGACTAATAAAAGGCCAATTATCTGAAAAAAGCAAAAAACTAAATAAATATAAAAAGGCCAATGCTTTACAATAGACAAATCTTTGGCAAGTTTAATGATGGAAAAAAGCCCACTAATAAACAGTAGGAATTTAAAAGAGGCATAGTCACACATAGAGATTATTTTTTAAATTATACATATTTCAAACATATACAAAACCCAAAAAACTAGTACAATGAACTCTCATATTCTGAATAACCTAATTCAATTATTCGCAAATTTTTACAAAATTTGTTTGTTCTATCTCCCTGTTTTCCCTCTCCCTAAGAATTTAAAGGCAAATTCCAGACATCATTTCATTTCACCCCTAAATACTTAATATGCATAGAGGGGATTTTTTTTTAATTATGAGAGCATTCTATAAAAAACTTTATACCTATAAATTTACAACTCAAGATATCATAGGCAATTTTAAGCAAAATAAAAATGTCTAAAACTTGCTTAAGAAGATGTAGAAAACAGGACCATTAACCACAGAAGAGACTGGTAAGGCAGTTAAAGCACTACTGACAAAAAAGGCAGGAAGTAGACCTAAACTGTTTTATACATGAATACTACCCGAAACCTTAAAGTTTTACCAAAATATTAAAATAGATAATTCCCACATTATATATATTTTTAGAATTTGAAAACTATCAAACGTATGTTACAAGGCTAATGCAAGCCAAAAAATCCAAAGCAGACACAGTCATTCAAAGATAAGCAAACAACACACAGCAAGACTCATACATCCCGAGCACCTAGAACAGAGCCCTAATGGATGATGATACTTCACCCAGCTTTTCCTCTGCTATTCTGAGATCCATAACTTTTGCTCCTTTGCTATTCTGGAAAAGGGGTAATTACAGAATCTGTAGAAGGTTCTAACTACTCACATGCTCTCCACTCATCAGGATGCTTAAAAGGAAACGCTAGACCATTATCAATTGCAGCTATTTTAATAAGTGGTTCTTTATCATCAATCCACTCTGTTTCCTAAAGGAGAGAAAAATGGTCTGTTGATTTAAAAAAGTTATATAAATATTCCCAAAACATGAATTATTTACAATAATTATTGAGGTTTAAAGACATTTTATCTGAAGAGCCCATAAAAATAAAAAATAACTTGCCAGAAAGTACAAATTTACCCTTGAAGGGAAAAGACTATCTTAAAAATCAGTAAGAATTTCATAATCACTGTTTTTTTAATTTGATATTATAAATCTGCACAGTAATGACTTCATTTTTTTCCTCTTTAGGGAAGAGGGCTTGGAATTTTTAAGACTTAAAAGAGTGTTGTTCCAAATAATTTATTGCTAGATGCATTGCTTAAATGTGTATTTGCAAAATATTGATATCTTTAAGATAACAACTTTAACAGTTACCTTATTAAAATCTAGTCTTTCCTAGAGTTCCATAGAAATAATTAGTTCAAATACAAAATATTTCTAAATAAAACTCCCCAAATACCATAGCTAAATATAGTAAGTTCCAGTAGAAGGAACCTCAAGATATTGATTACATAATGCAGGCCATTCCTAACTTCTACATTCTTTTGTAGCAGAAATGAAGACCTCAGGAGCAAGAAGGCTTTCGTGTTAAAGAGTACTTGCTATTATCTAAAGACAGATGGTTGCCATTATTAAGTGGCATAGATAAAATAACAAAAGGTGAAAAAAAATTTTTTTAAAGGTTTTAGAGCGAAGGTCCATGTGATATATGCCAACTCTGTTTCTTTCAGTTTATATAAAATATCTTACACCCCAGTGAAAATGCACAAAATACTTAAGAGCAAAAGAATGAAGTTTTCAGTAAAATCTAACTGCTCAAGATATACCAATAAAATATATTTAGGAACTATTATAAATATGTATATTTATGTGTGTATTTTAAGCCCATTTCTGCTGTAACTGCCATTTATTTTTATTTCTTTCATTTTTTTCTATTTACAACTTTATTGAGGTATAATTTACACACAATAAACTTCACATATTAAAGTGTACAATTTGATAAGTGTTGACAGATGTGAAACCTTCACCAAAAGTTTCCTTGTGTCCCTCTGCAGTCCCTCCCTCCCTCTACCCCACCCCCGGCAATCATGGTCTGCTTTCTGTCGCTAGGGATTAGTCTGCACTTTCTAGATTTTTATATAAATGGAATCAGACAGTATGTTCCCTTTGCGTGTAGCTTCCTTCACTCAGCAAGATTTTGACATTCATCCACATTATTGAGTCATAAGACTCAGAAAGAAGTAAATTAGTAAAATATAAACATATTGACCAAAAACACCAGAAGCCTTTATTACATAAAAGCAAAATAAATCTGGTGGTCCTATAACAAATTTCCCAAGCCCTAAAATCAGTATGGAGCTGGTACTATTCTTCTATTCTAATACAACATAAAAAATAAAGCTGCAGAGATTTGAAAAAAATAGAATAAAAAATGCAATGTAAACAGGGGAAGGAAAGAAAAAAGATGAGAAAAACAGAAAAAGGATATAAAACCAAGGATCTAAGTGGAGGAAATGAAGAATAACCTAACTTTAAGGAATCTTTTACAGAACTGATAGTGTGTATGTGTGTATATATACATATATATTATTTTTAAATTTCTTTACCTTAATTTCCTTTCCATTTTTCTGCTTTTCACATCTGATTAACCAATTATCATTTCCCCTGTCTTTCAAAACAATAAAAAAAATCTGTTACTTCATTTTTTATGGATATCATAGCTTAATATCAAGGAGAAAAATCTAGTCACCTCTTGATTTTTGAAATCTTCATTGGTTATCTGTGGCATATATTTACATATTAAAGGCTCCAATTTAACACATACAAATAAAAAATACTCATAAATGTTAGCTAACACTTATTTAGTCTGTGCCAGACATGGTTGTTAAGTGCTTAACATGTATCAATTCATTTAACCCTCATAACCACTCTGTGAGGTATGTACAATTGTTGTCAAGAACTATTAAATCAAGGTTATTAAAATCAAGGATAACTTCTCTTCACCTTAGGAAGAAAAAGCATCTACCCCTATTACCAGGCAAATTTCTGGGTAGGCTCTCACTAATGTCTATATAAGATGTGCTCTAGACTCTACACTAATTTTAACATTAACCTAAGACCATATTAAGAAGGTAAATCTAGAAAAGTATATAATGCATTTTCAGAAACTAATATAAATGAGCAAACATTTTGAACCCGTGGTTCTCAAACTTCAGAGTGCACCAGAATTACCTGAATTACCTGGAGGACTTGTCAAAACACAGGCTGCTGGCCCCCACATGCAGAGTTTCTGCTTCAGTAGGTCTGTGGTGGGCTCCTCTGAGAAGATGCACCAGTAACAAGTCCCCACAGAATACTGACCCCCACAGTGCAGGGAACCACTGTTTCAGATTATCTACCTCTTTGCTCCCTTCCAGCATAGAAAAAATTAAGGGTTTAATGTATTTATAGACTACACTAATAGTTACCTAAAGTCAAAATAAGCATCTAAAATAATTTATACAATCAAGTTTTAATTATTCATATTATGCAGATAACATTTCTAATAACTGGCTTTGTCCTACTGCCAAGAAACTCCCCCCTAGAGACAGGAACTGACCTCTATCGCCTGGGCAAGAGGTTGCTACAAGTCAGAATCTCCAGGAAAGGATTAATTCTGCCTAGGAGAGTCAGTACTACATCTCTGTTTTTTCCAAGGCAGATAGAGAAAAAGGGACCTTAAGATTTAGTCTTTGACCTGGCTAACAACAGTTGAATACAGTTTGAAAGCTAACAAGATTTGAGTAAACAAATGAGAGAACTTCAATACCTGTATTTCTGATGATGTAATCCAAAACAACTAATCTTTCAAACTGTGACTGAAATTGTTTTCTAATATTCTCAGGCAAAGGGTCAGCTTCAAATTTCCTAAGCCAATATTCAGCCTCCTTGTAACCTTCAACAAATAACTGAAAGGAACCAATCTATAATTTTAAGAACTACAGTTAGAAAAGAGTACAAGAACAAAGGGATTACTTTTAATTTCTCAGCAATATCATCATAAGATAAATTATATAAACACAATAAGAAAAATAGAAGAGTTAAACTAATTTAGATAAGCCACATTTATCAAGAAAACTATTTTTATACACTAAGTTTAAATAATCACATAAAGAATAAACAGCAAATTAAAAATGCTCAACCCTAGACTTTCAAGCAGCTATTTTTTGGATAATTAAAAAAGAAAATACACGTGTTTTCTAAAAGTATTCATTAAAACGAATTTAATTATAGAGGCCAAGTTTTACACCTATCCTGGTTATTTAATAACAGTGCAATTTTATCTTACCAAAGAAATACCTCAGGATTCTTTTTACAACATAAAATACAGAAAATAACTTTATTTTAAAAAAGAATGAATTCTTTGACAATGCAGATTAAAGATCCTGTCATAAATTTTAAAGAACTAATCAATTAATCGTAACTTCTATAGTATGTGGTTTTTTAAAAAATCCTTAAAGATACATTCATTTTATTTTATTTTATTTTTTTTTTTAAGATTTTATTTATTTTATTTTTTCCCTCCAAAGCCCCAGTAGATAGCTGTATGTCATAGCTGCACATCCTTCTAGTTGCTGTATGTGGGACTCGGCCTCAGGATGGACGGAGAAGTGGTGCCTCGATGCGCACCCGGGATCCGAACCCGGGCCACCAGCATTGCAGCGCGCGCACTTAACCACCAAGCCACAGGGCCGGCCCGAGATACATTCATTTTAAAAGAGATTTCTATCACTAAAATTGCTAGTTAACATTAAACAATGTATTAAAGAAGGAAATACAAATTTAAACAGCACAGGACGCACAAGTAATGGATACCCTAGTTGGCCTCATAAATACAAACACATCACACAAAGAAAATCTATTTCTTAGCCTAACACTTTATGTTTTTTGCTGTTGGCATGAAATTTTAATGATTTTCTAAAGGTTTTCTCTAAAGCACTTATACTTAGGTCCTAGTAGTCAGAAATACAGAAATAATATCCTTTTTTAGTCACACTTTATTTCAGTATATCCAAGGAATAACAGGCCTTGTAAAAATTTTCAAACTTTCTGCTTACTCGGAGTGCAATTTTAAAAACAAGTTAGGTTAACTACGAATTTCTACTTAAATACTTTTATCTAGATAAATGCATAGCAACAACAAAACAACAAAATCACAGTTCAAATATATTAAAAAAAAATAAAGCCTAGAGCTTTTTCTAGAATGCCTTTCCCCCTAACCCTCTCCACCCTTGCTTAGCTAGCTGCCAATAATCCCTTAGGTTTACTTAAAAGTGATAAGAAAAAACAAAATCTAATATGTAATGAGTAAACATAGTCACTACCATTTACTTTACTACATGCCGGGCACTGTGCCAAGTTTGTTGTTAGTGCCCTTGAGTGGATTCTGACTCCTAGCACCCCTGCATACAGCAGAGCGGAACCCTGCCTGGGCTTTTTGCACCATCCTCTCATCTTCGGGTGCTATAGCAGACAATGCTCTGCTGCTATTCACAGGGTTTTCATGGCCAATTTTTTTGGAAGTGGGTGGCCAGGTCCTTCTTCCTAGTCTGTCTTAATCTAGAAGCTCCACTGAAACCTGTCCACTATGGATGACCCTGGTGTTATGTGAAATCCCAGTGACATAGCTTTCAGCATCATAGCAACACACAGCTGCCACAGTATGACAACCGACAGACAGGTGGTGTGGTTCCCTGACCAGGAAATGAACCTGGGCGGTGGCGGTGAGAACACCGAATCTTAACCACCCACACTAGACCACCAGGGCTGTACCAAGTACTCGACATAAATTTCTTCACTTTTATCCTCACAACCACAAGAGGTACTTCTTACCATCCTCGTTTTACAGAAACTGGGGCTTGGAGAGTAAGGAACTCGCCCAAGGTCTCAGAGCTAACTGGCAGAGAGGCTGGGGGTGAAACCTAGGTCTGCTTCGAGACCTGTGCTTTTAGCCATTATATTATAGAGCCTTAGATGCAACATCCTCTTAGAAACACTTCCCAGCCCTCCACACTGGGTTAGACATCCCTCCTCTGTCCTCCCTGAACTTAACCATCCTAACAGCTTTATCATATTGCATTGAGGCTGCTTGTTTATCATAAGCTCTTTGAAGACAAAAAACTGTTCTTTACTGTTATATCCACAGTCCACAGCACAATGCATAGCACATGGAGCTCAGGTAATATATGTTGAACTGCCCCCCAAGTAAAGCTTACCACAGTAACTTACCTTAGGAGGGAGTCCTATCCGATGAAATTTTCTACCTACTTTTGGCACTTTCTCTAAAGCATATTTTTTGCCTCTAGATTTTGCACGGTCAATAGTACTGTAGTTAAATGTCTCACTGACAAGCCAAACCACCTAGAAACATAAGAGTTTAGAAAAATGGTTATTAGAATTTGCATTATACTATTTCTATCCATATACACCATGAAACTCACTTTAATGCTGTAAATTGGCAAAGTTTAACCCTATACCAAAGTCAGTTAAGTTGGCATATATATTTTCTCTGAGAGAGGCAGCCTAAAATTGGCTAGTGGAAGAAAGAAGTAATAGTCTTGAAATGCAGAATTAGGAATGAATATTTTGAGGAAGTCTTCAAGTAAAAATTTACAAAGGCCAAAAAGAAAAAAAAAAAAAGCAGTCTTTTGAGCACATTAGTTATCTCTACCTTCAACAGAATTTCTAGATCCCTGATCTTTTTCTGCTTTCTAAATGCTAGTTCCTTCTCCTCTTTTTGTTAGCATCATCTCAGCTCACATAAGCAAGAGATATTCCCTTGGATACTTTTGTATCTACACTAGAATCAATTTATTAATCTCTTATAACTCTGAATTACCAAAAAAGGGGCTTAACTTTAGGCTCCGTCATTAGAAATATTACTATAAGTGTTCGCAGAAAAGTAGGCTGTAAATTAGAAGAACACGATTAGAAACAAATTCTTTACCCTTGTTTTAGGTACAATGCCCAGATGAAGCTTTCTGTCCACAAGGGAGGCACCAGCTTCAGAAAGGTATCCCTGATTAGGAAGCAGGCAGCCTCTGCCAAAGCAGCAAGGGCAGCAGACCTTATGAACATACTTGGTCCATTTTGGGTTCAGTTGACCATAAGGCTCTTCTGATTTGGGTTTAAACACACCAATAATTTTCTATATAAAAAAGCAGAAATTTTATTAGGTTTTTAATATATAGAGATAATAATCCATAAAATGCATTCTGATAAATCTTTTTATACTTCTTCCCACCACAGATTTGGGGATAACCCTTAAATATTAAGAGGTTTAGTTCCAATCACATTTTTACATTCATTCTCATTCAATAAACTAAAATCAATAATCCTTTGGGCTAGTGATTTTCAAACTGTGCTCTGAGAAACCCTTGGAAAAGTGAGAGAAGGAGGTGGGGTAGGGCTTGAAGGCCCCACGCCACTTAAACAGATCAACTTTGATTTCACCTATTTTTTATTACTGGACTTCCAAGTTAAGAAAGGGTTCCACTGATTTTAAAATGTTGGAAAACCACTGGTCTAGATCGAACAGTGTTTATTATTCAATATCTATTAAATATCCAACCCTATATGTTTGTTTATTGTCTACTTTCCCCACTAGATGTCCATTCTAAAAGGGCAGTGACTTTGTTAGGACTGTATCTCAAGTACTCAGAACAGTACCTGCTACACAGTAGGCATTCAAGCATTTGTTACATAAACTAATAAATCCAATGACAAAAAGTAGTCTCTAAAATACAAAGGTAAGGATAGGATATAGTGAACATCTATGTTGTCAGAAACTCCTACCTTAATCTTTTTCCAGTTATTTTTTTAAGAACGGATTTTAAATAAATTCTTTCCTCTTAAAAAAAAATTTGTTCATGGATGTCTAAAAGTCTATAATCTTTACTACTGGTCTGATAAAATATATTCACATTAAATTTAAAGGCGGAATTATCCTTAGACAGGAAATAAAATATTATTATAATTTTAAGTATATAATTGCTTTATAATGCATAAAGTCTAAGCCACTAGTAAAAAAGTCAACAAGAACAAATTAAGAAATCAAGCTTGGGGGGCCGGCCCGGTGGCGCAAGCGATTAAATGCGTGTGCTCCGCTTCAGTGGCCCGGGGTTCACAGGTTCGGATCCCGGGCGCATACCAACGCACCGCTTGGTAAGCCATGCTGTGGCGGCGTCCCATATAAAGTAGAGGAAGATGGGCACGGATGTTAGCTCAGGGTCACTCTTCCCCCAAAAAAAAGGGGAGGATTGGCATCGGATGTTAGCTCAGGGCTAGTCCTCCTCACAAAAAAAAAAAAGAGAAATCAAGCTTGGAATAAAGATTGAGAGACTGACATTACCTACATATATATATACAAACCTCAAAAAGACTATGTTTTAAAATATAACTTCAGTCTTTGCAAAAAATATTTGGAAGAAATTATAATCTTTCTTCCTCCTGAAAAAGGAACTGCTGGCTATGCATCATTCAGAAAGCTTTTAGAAATGATAATATTGATTTTTGAAAAATTCTAGACTACGTGGAACAAAGTCCCTTATCAACTTCTCTTTTCTGCCCTAGAATTATACTTTGGTTCATTTCACTTTGCCACATTCCAATGCCTTCAAACTTCACACTGCCCAGGTATAACGCAGGAAAAAATATTCCTAGAGTAAAATAAACTTTTGAAAAAAATCAAGCACTTTATAAATGACATTAAACAGGTTTTTAAAGTTTAAACTTCTACTCTGCCTGGATAATATGGTTATAGGCTACTGTAAGGTAAGGACTTATGAATATAAACTCAACAAATCTACAGCTGAATATGAGTATTCAATGAATGCTTGAAACCAAATATTAAAATAGAACAGCAAACTATGACTCAAAATCAATAGCTCTATTTCTAAATAGCAGAGTGCTTTAGGAAAAAAAAAAAAACAAACCTGACCTTTATTTCTGAAAAAGATGGCGCAATCAGATTTATTAGGAAAACATCTTCAGAAATTCATAATGACTTCACATTTAAATAAGTGTTTTCCAAAATTTCTCTTATATATAGTACGTCTGTGAAATTCTCACCCTCTTAGGATCCTTCACAAAGTAACTTCCACTTGAACCTTGAGAGATTCTTTCTGGAAAAACTCCAAATTCTATTGCTTGCTCTGCTTTCAATATAACATCAGCAAATTCTGGATCGTCCAAGAATGTATTCAACTCTGAAGAACCAATATTTATTGCATTAAGAAAATCAGTGTTAATATAGAATGTGAAGAAGACGACCAGCTATGACAATTCTCATAATATGAACCTGTAATATTGGATTAGGTTATTAGCATTAGAACATTAAGGTACAGAAAAATGTAATCAAGTATTGTATGGGCTGCTTTGATCTTCCTTTTTTTTCCCTAACCCCACTTCTCTTTAAGCTTCAAGTAATGATACATGGAAAACAAAATCTTTATTTGTTGAAATAATCACACTGATACCTCACATTACTTTGAACTCTTCTCTTCCAGTGATTTTGTTCTCCAGCCTACTTCAGCCTCTAACTGCACAGTTATCCTTCAACTGGTCATTACCAATACCTGCAACCTCTCCATACTTTTAATTTCAAGCCTCTTCTATCTTCCTAGTTCATTCCCTCTGGCACCGAGTCCAAAAATTCTTCAATCCCACCAGGACCTACAAAGCACTGACCTACCATGTTGTCTCTGGTCTTCACCCTCTTTATGTGCTTACTTCCCTCCCTGGCCAGCTTAAATTATGGTCAGTCATCATATAATTCTCTTCCTCCCTCCCATCATTATGGTCACCTGTAAAAATCCCAATCCTGGTTAAACCCAACTGTCTGCTGACTATGGCTGTGCCTGGAGAGCTGACCTTGACCACACAAACACACTCACACACAATGCCTGGCATCACTTTAAATTCATCACCACAAACCTCAGGTAGGTCCTTCATGTTGCCCGGGAAGCATACTACATTCCTGTTATGGACTGAATGTTTGCATCCCCCCAAAATATGTTGAAGCCATAACCCGCACTGTGCCATATGGGGAAGATGGGGTCTTTGGGAGGTAATCAGGTTTAGATGAGGTCCTGAGGGTGGGATTAGTACCCAGAGCACTTCCTCTCTCCCTCTGCCATGTGAGTACACAGTGAGAAGGCGGCCATCTGCAAGCCAGAAAGCGAGTCCTTATCAAGACCCTGATCGTGCTGGCATCCTAATCTTGGCCTTCTCAGCCTTCAGAGCTGTGAGAAATAAATGTCTGTTGTTTAAGCCACCCAGTCTATGGTATTTAGTTATAGCAGCCTGAACTAGGACAACTCCCCTGGTGCATAGACTCTTCCCCTCTTCTGGACAACTATCTTATATCTTTTCCTTTCCTCAAATTCCCAACACCTCCTCTCTCCCAGCAGATGATCTAGCTTCCTATTTCACTAAGAAAAGAGAAGAAATCAGAAAAAACTATCGGCCCTCAGCACCACATCTACCCACCCATATCCTTTGCCTTCCGCCTATTCCTGTAGATGAACTGTCTAAGCTCTAAAATCAACTCCTCCACTTTGTGTGCTAGACCCTACTTCTTCCTGACTACTCCAGGACACTTCTTCAGCAATTATTCCCTGCATCTCTATTTCCCTCTCTGCTGGATCATTTCCATCACCATACAAAGCATGCTGTAATTTTTCTCAAAACAAACCTCTTTTAACCGCCATAATCCCCCTAAACACTCCCTCATTTCTTTGCTCCCCTTTATAGCAGAAGGCCACTGTAATTATTTACATTTACCATCTCCAGTTTCTCTTCTCCCCTTCTCTCTTGAACCCATTTCAATCAGGCTTCTGTCCCTCTCCATCGATATAATTTTTGTCAGGGTATACAGTGACCTCCTCGTTGCTAAATCCAACCTCAGAACTTATCTTCCTTGACCAACACTGCCATTTGACCCTGTTGGTCACTCCCTCATACAGTAAAACTGTAATTTACTAATTTTTAAAAGTTTGTGCTGAAAAAAATACTACAAAAAGCGGTATTGGGCATATTTAACCTACTTAAAAAATAAATAATCCAAGTATTTTAGTCATATCTAAACAATTGATATGCTAATTCCAAATCATTCTTATCCCATGAAAATTCTTAAGAATGAAGGGAAAAACTTTGTCTTTTTTTTCCACTGTGTATCCCCAGCACCTGGAAGAGGGATCAGTATTTAGTGGGTACTTAATAAATATTTAGTTGAATAAATGAAGTATCATTTACATGCCAGAATTGCCAATAATCATTGTCATTAGTCAAATAATATTTCTTCTAGGTCAGGGCTCTTAACAAGAAAGAACTTGAAAATTTTTTTATTTCAACCTTGCTCCCAAGACTGGTGTACTTTCTGTAATACATTACCAGCAGATGGTCTTTGGGCCAATGTTTAAACACTTTCAAAGAGAGATCACTCCTTTTTTCGTGCTTCTTTTATTTGTTTGAAAACAAATATAAACTTCTTCCTTTTCCAGAAATAAGTCTCCTATAGTTTCACCCAATGTCCTAGCCCTGCCATCTGGAGCAAAACAAAAGTCTGCTTACTCCTTTCTTCCCAGGGATAGCCCTTCAAACAGCTGAAGATCGTTGCACATTCCCCTAAGTCTCCCCTGTTCTCCACCTCCTTCCCTATGTTTTCAGAATCCAAGCTGCCCTCTTGATTCACGCCTTAGTTTTTCAATGTGCCTTCTTAAAATATGATCTCCAGAATCGAGCAACCCATCACAGAGAATAAAGACATCTCTCAGTCTTGAGACAACAGCAAAATAAGAAGCACTCTAGTGTTACATTAGTTGTTCAGGAGTCCTGTCATACTACTAATTCACACTGAAATGCCTAAACTCTTAGACCACTCTTGGTCTATCTCATCCTGTACTTGAGCAGTTCTTTTGGAAACTATGTGCAGACTTTGACATTATTACTATTAAATGTTATCAAATTTGTTTTATGGGTTAAGCTTCATGAGTTCATGATAGAGCCTTTGTTGCTCTCATGGAGTCCATGATCATACTCTGACTACTTACTAATTCAGTTTCAATCAAAATCAGATCAGTTGAACCATTCCCATAAAATCAGCCAGGATGTTCTCAATCCCTTTCTCTTCAACTTGTCCCTTACTGAGCAACTCTTGGAGAAAGGAGATAATCTCCCCACATGAAAATGGACATTCTTTGAAGATGACCTAGTTTTACCACCACAATCTAGAAAGGCACTTAAAAGGCAACTGGTCCTACTACCTAATTACGGCCAGAAAAAAAGACTAAAATCAAAGTAATTGTTGTTTTAGTAGATAATTTTTAACCGACTCATAACTCAAAATTACATTTTATAACTTTCTCCATTTTAGTTACTAATGTACATTTGGCAATGAGTTTAACTTGGAGGACACCCCCAAAAGTTACACTACTTCAAGCTATCTGTGCTATGGAGATTTGGTTTGAAGGTTTGTCATCATTAGGTTTGATTTTTAATAGCTGAAGGGTGTGGTTGCTACATTTTCTTTGAATTTTTTTTTCAGTTAAAATTACTGTCACCCTTTTAAGGAATAGACTCTGGGGTTTTGATTTGTCTCTGTATCAAAGAATACTCAGATTTTCTGAGGAAAATCTCAATTCTCCATGTGTACTCCCTTTGGGTCTCCTCTAAAAAGAAGCGGTGGCCCTCCAGTCAAGTTCCAGTCCTGTCAAGCTCCTCACTTTTCACAAGACGTCCAGCAGACCCTCTGAACCTCTGCCCAGGCTATTCTCATGTATAGCCTAAGCTTCCTTCCCATGGCTAATTTTTATTCATCCTTTGACTCCATCTGAGCACTTGCAATGCTCTAACAAAATGATCTAAGTTCTAGGAGGGCAGAGATCTTTGTTTTGTTCTCTGTATATCCCAAGTGCCTAAAACAGTGCCTGGCACATGGTAGGCCCCCAATAAATTTGAGAATTATTTATTAACAAACTATCCCCTTAACCACACTTAAGGGTTATTACTGGTCCTTTAGTAAATAGAAATTGAAAAGGGAATAAGAAAACCCATTGTATAATCTTTTATATTTAGTTTTATGTAAGTATGCATGGTAACTTATCAAGTTCTCATTTTAAATAAATAGATCAAAATGAACTCTTCATCACTTGAGGGTTGGTACTATATCTTACCTACTGACCATAATATTTTCTAAAAAGAAAAGTAGCTGGCTCACACAAGCTTGGTGATCTGAACCCTGACTCAGGGGTTCCAGTGCTATTCTTCCTTCAGGTATCAAACTGGATGCCACTTCCTCTGCTAAGTCTTTCCTGGCCCCTAAATCCAGGGCACAGCTCAATGGAACCCTCAGCTTGCCACATCTGAACACTAATATCACTTGTTAGAACTATTTGTTTTAACTGACCGTTTCCTCCATTAGGCTATAAAGCTATGTGGGGACAAGGCTGGTGACTGGATATCCATTTGATATTTGGTCAGCACTATTTCCCCAAGGCCTCGTTTTCCACTGGCACCCAGCGGGCACTCAAACATTTGATGAATGATATCTCTCTGAGATAAACAGATAACAAAGAATAGGTGTATTCTAATTACTGGTTGAGAAATCATCTCCAATACATCACTGCTCACTACCTTTCAAAAACTCAGTTATGGAGAACTGTCAAAACACATAGGATGGGCCGGCCCCGTGGCTTAGCGGTTAAGTGCGCGCGCTCTGCTGCTGGCGGCCCGGGTTCGGATCCCGGGCGCACACCGACGCACCACTTCTCCGGCCATGCTGAGGCCGCGTCCCACATGCAGCAACTAGAAGGATGTGCAACTACGACATACAACTATCTACTGGGGCTTTGGGGGAAAAATAAATAAATAAAATTAAAAAAAAAAAAAAAAAAACACATAGGACATCTACTCTTCTAACATCTTCCTCTAAATTGAGCCAGATTATCAGTACCTTGAATTTAGAACCAGCAATACTGATAGCACCACCCATTAGAATTACTTCTACTGAAATGGGCTTCAGAGAAGTTATGAAATATTCATACGAAATTCATCACTTCTATTACAGAGATATTATTCAGTATATAGTCTCTTCTCCAAGAGAATACATGACAGGTTATCCTTTGACAGTTCTGTTTTGGTTCAAATAATCAGTTTGTTTCAACTTTATGGACACAGGGATTGTGTTACTCTCAAGTTGGCTGCTCAGTAATCTTAAAAATCAAATTTGTGGGCTGCCTGTATCAAGTGTCTGACATGTATTTTGCGTACCCAGATTCCAGCTGCCATCATATTTATTTCATTAACTTTAGTTCCCATTCTCATCTTTCTTCTTTACTTTCAAATGAGTTTATTTTGTTCGTACATTTATAAGCCACCATGAATCATTAAATCACTTATAAATACACACTTCTTTTTACTTTGGTAGCTCTCTGTGAATTCTAACGCTGTTCTCTAATTGTTAGGCTCTCCAACAAAACTGATAAGTGCTGCTGGTTTGTATTAACTGGGACCTTGGAGAAGTCACTTCACCTCTCTGTGCTTCCTCAAAATGAGAATAAAATAGTACTCACTTCATACGGTTAGTTATGAATTAATACATGTGAAGTGCATAGAACTATGCCCTGCGAATACTGTTACACAGGTATTAGCTATTATCATCTTTATTACTCTCCAATTCACTGATTAAAATGACAATTAGAACAAGGAATGCCACTAACCCTTCTTTGACATTGATCCAACAACACTATGGTTTATGCTGGTTCTAGACTGTGTCAAATGCCTTGTTAAAGTAAAGATAAGAGACATATGACATTCTTCTACTGGCTAAAGTACACAAAACTCCTGTTCACATACACAAAATAGTTAAGCATCATGAATGATGTTCACATTAATGTAAAGGCAAGAATTTCTTGGAAATAAGAAAGGTGGATTTATGGAAATTGGATGGTAAAGGACAAAAGAAGACTAACAGACTGTTAAAAAATAACTAAAAAATCTAGTTAAATTACTCAATCATAAACTTTTTAGGAGACTGCTTTGAAATTTTTAAAATAGTTTTTACAATTCAAAGCTATTTTTAAATCCATTAAGGGGCCAGCCCAGTGGCACAGTGGTTAAGTGTGCGCGCTCCACTTCGGTGGCCCAAGGGTTCACAGGTTAGGATCCCGGGCACACACCTTCGCACCGTTTGTCACAAGCCATGCTGTGGCGGCGTCCCATATAAAATAGAGGAAGATGGGTACGGATGTTAGCCCAGGGCCGGTCTTTCTTGGCAAAAAGAGGAGGATTGGCATGGATGTTAGCTCAGGGCTGATCTTCCTCACAAAAAAAAAAAAAAAAAATCCATTAAAAATAAGAGCTCCATAATAAATAATCAAAAGTAACAATTATTTTATAATAGTTGTGGATCTACAGCAACACGGAAGAAGTACAGGACATGAAGAAAGAACTAGTCTCAGTCCTGGCTTTACCACTTCCTGGATACTTGACTTTGGCTTATCTCCGAAGTTCTATGAACTATTGGTCATTACAGTTTTACTCATTTTCAATCCTCACAGCAAGGATGAGGGTGAATAACAACTTGCTGTGCCGTTGTGAGAATTAATGAAATATACAGAAAAAGAGCTTAGCAAACTGTAAGCTGTGATATAAATGTTATTACCATTAAATAATATTTAACAATCTATTTGTATTCTGAGTACTTTACTCTATCCCCACTTACACTTTTTCTAGCCTTTCCATCATTTGTTTACAAAACCTCACTCTGACAGAATAAATGCACTTTCGAGGTTTTGGGCTCTTTTAAAATCTAGCTACACAAGGTAACTTTGAGGTAGAGAAAGGCAAGCAAGCCAGAGGGATCTCAGTTACTTCACAGACTGGATTCGAGGTAATATATACTCAAATTATCAATGTAGCTAGGTGAATGTGGGTCCATTTGTGATCTGGTTCCAACTTCACATTTGTTTTCTTAGCTACACTTGGATTGGAAAGTCAGCTTCCCTTGGGCCTCTCTAGAATATGTCTGAATATAAATTCAACTACAACTTGAATAACCTATTCTAGCCAAAATCCTGTAAGTTGTAGAAGGCCCATTAATGTACTAGCAGCAGGACATGTAAAATCTAACAACTCCAGAAAAACTAAGCAGTATTAATGAAAACTACATTTTCTGTGGCTTTTCTTTAAGCAGTCACATATGGAGTTATACTCCAGGCACAGTGCACTTATCACTTATCACCTCATTAAAACCATCCTAACCACCGGGGAGTAGGTATTATCATCACCATTTTACAAACCAGCCTGTCCCATCTCTAGCTAGGTCTCTTAAAGTCTACTCCATTTTACTACAAATTAGCCTAACTCCACTCGACATGCCAAAAAACTCGTTTTATCAACAAATATCCACGCCCGCAGCAGCATGCCTAAATTTTACTAACTTGCAGCATCATTTCAATTACCCTCTCTTTCACCTGAGGCTATCAGTCCGCTTAACAGTAAACAAGGTTTGGGGTATTTCTGTTTGTTTTTAAGTATAAGAACAGAAATGACTCAAGAAAGAAAACTTTGCAAGTAGCAGGTACAGAAATTCAACTGCCTCTGCCCCCTCTGGCTAACGTCACAATAACAATATTTAATAGAAAGAGCTTTTGAAAAATGGCAACTGGATATTCTTGCTGTACATCTCTCTGCTGTCATCCACCTTGCAAACTCACAACTCGGGGAACTTTCTTGATAGTTCAGGGTTCTTCATCAGAAACTCAAGTCCAAACTTACGTCATTTAACAGTGTTAAGTGTTCCTCGGTGTCTGATTCCAAAAGCCTAGGCTCACTCTTAGGGGAGGCCTCAAGGATCGGAGGTTAATGACAACCATGGGCCTTAGGTGAACTAGCCTGGAGCCCCTGGAAAAGGTGCGAGTAGACGGGGGAGCAGGGGAGAAAGGCAAAGCGTCCGAGGTTGGACCAGCGGCTGGCCCCTTGCCCGTGCTCCGGACGCGACGCCTGGCGAAGCGCCTTTCCTAGCGGGCAAGCGCTGGCGTGAGACAGACGGGAGCCGGGGGCAGGGCGGGAGAGGGGACGGGCACGAATGGGGCTGCGGGGCGGCGGCGGCGACAGGCGCTCTGGGAGGGCCGCGGAGAGAAGGGAAGGGCCGGGTCGCACCTGAACCCACGGGGCGGCTCCGGGGGGCCCTGCCGTCCCCGGAGGGACAGCGGGGCGCGTCCCTGGGCCGGAGCAGCAGTTCCTTGTCGCCGGCCTCGCCCGGGGAGGCCGCGTCCTCCTCCTGAGCAGTCTCCAGCAGCCTCACGGCGCTCCCCGGCGCGGCCTTCCGCGGCTGGGCCCAGGCGATCCGCGGCAGCAGCGGCTCCCGCTCCTCGTCGTCCTCCTCCTCCAGGCTCCCGCCGCCCGCGGACGCCCGCCGCCCGGGCTCGGAGGACTCCGCCATGGCCTCGCTCTGGGCCTTCCGCGCTGAGACCGGCTCAGAGAGACGAGGTGCCCGGACCTGGCCTCTGCATAGCGGGGCACCGGAGCCGCCGGGTCGGAACCAGCACACCTCACGCGCGTACAGCCCGGCTCGGCGCCCGCCCGACTGTTGCCCCGCCCGGCCGCCCGCCACGCCCCGCCTCTCGCCGACCCCGCGCCTGCGCGGAAGGGCCGGGGCGGCGGTGGGCGGGGCACGGAGCAGGGGCAGGGGCAGGGGCACGGGGCAAGGGGCACGGGGCACGGGGCACGGGGCACGGGGTGGGGCGGCCACCTGCCTCCCAGGGTCGGGGAAGACGCGGGGTGGGGCTGGTGTTGCGCCTCGTGGACCGCGGGGGCTGCAGTCAACTTACCTTCGCAGGTCTTCCCCGCCCCCCCAATCTAAATTGGCTTCTCCCTCCATCGAGGAATTCTCTCATAAAGTTTACCACAATCTATCCCTATGTATTTCTTTGTATGACTAATATTTATTTCTCCCACTAGAAGTCCTTGAGAGCAGAGACCTTGTCTTTTATTCAGACATTCCTGATATGGGTAGTTTGTATTTTCTCTCTCTTTTTTTCTGATTAATCTAGCTAGAAGTTTATCAAACTTAATCTTTTCAAAAAGCTATTTTTGGTCCCATTGATTTTGTTTTATTGTTAATTGACTTTTGCTCTTTATTATTTCCTCCTTCGTAGTTAATTGGGATTTGATTTCCTCTTTGTTTTCTAGTTACTTAGAGTAGAAGATTACATTGATTCTGGACCTTTCTATTTCTTTTTTAATAGAAACATTTAAAGCTATGCATGTTCCTCTAAGCGCTGTTTTGTCTGCATTCTACAAGTTTTGATATGCTGTGCTTTTTCATTTTCACTCAGTTCAAAACAGTTTATTTCCCTTATGATTTCCTCTTTGATTCATTTCTTTAAAGTGTGTTGTTTAATTTTTAAATATTTAGGGGCTTTTCCAGATAGTATTATTAGTTTCTAATTTAATTCTGTTGTGGCCAGAGAAGATACACTAAGATTTCAACCTTTTGAAATTTATTGAGACATTTCATAACCCAGTATGTCATTTACCTTGGTGAACATTCCATGTGTGCTTTAAAGAGAATGTGTATTCTGCAGATGAGTGGTTCTATAACTATCATTTTTTCTATAAATATCAATTTAGTTAAGTATTGATAGTGTTGTTCAGATCACCTATATCCTTATAGATTTTTAAATTTAGTTGTTCTATCATTCACTGAGAGTAGAGTACTACAATCTAACCATGATTGTGGGTTTGTCTATTTCTTCTCTTAGTTTGGTGAATTTTTGCTGTATGTATTTTGAAGTTGTGTTATTAGGTGCATACACAGGATTTTTATGTCTTCCTGATTATTTGACCCTTTTTTCTTTTCTTTTCTTTCTTTCTTTCTTTTTTTTCTTTTATGAACTGTCCCTTCTTCTCTCCCTTAATACTCCTACTTAAGTCTATATTTTCTGATATTAATATAACCACTCACCTTTCTTAGTCTCACAGTTTGCCAGGTAAATCTTTTTCCCTCCTTTTCCTTTCAATCTATTTGTGTCTTTATATTTAATATGTATCTCTTGTAGATAGTTTATAGTTAGTTCTTTTTTTTTTTTTATAATTTTATTTATTTATTTATTTTCCCCCCAAAGCCCCAGTAGATAGTTGTATGTCATAGTTGCACATTCTTCTAGTTGCTGTACGTGGGATGCGGCCTCAGCATGGCCGGAGAAGCAGCGCGTCTGTGCGCACCCGGGATCCGAACCCGGGCCGCCTGCATCGGAGCGCACGCACTTAACCGCTAAGCCACGGGGCCGGCCCTATAGTTAGTTCTTGATTTTTTTTTTTTTTTTGTGAGGAGGACTAGCCCTGAGCTAACAACCGATGCCAATCCTCCTCTTTTTTCTTGAGGAAGACTGGCCCTGGGCTAACATCCGTGCCCATCCTCCTCTACTTTATATGGGATGCCACCACAGCATGGCTTAGCAAGTGGTGCGTCGGTGCGTGCCCAGGGTTCTGAACCTGTGAATCCCGAGCTGCCGCAGTGGAGTGCGAGCACTTAACCGCTGTGCCACCAGGCCGGCCCCAGTTCTTGACTTTTAAAAACTCTAGTCTGATGATTTCTGCCTTTTAATTGGAGTTTTTAGTCTATTTACATTTAATGAAATATTAATGTGGTTGGATTTACATCTGTTGTTGTTTTGCAATTGGTATTCTATTTGTTTCATCCTTTTTTTGTTCTTCTGTTCCTCTTTTCCTGCTTTCTTTTCAGTTAATCAGTATTTCTTCATATTTCATCTTAATTCTTCTACTGACCTTCTGTTAAAACTCTTTACATTAATTTTTTTGTGCTTACTCTGGCATTTACTGTATGTATCCTTAAATTACCTTAATGTACTTAGACTTCATATTGTACTACCGGATGTAAAATGTAAGAATCTTACAAAAGTGTAGTTCTATTTATCCCTCATCCTTTATGTTACTGTCATCATATATATTAGACCCAAATATGTTTAAATGCAGTGAATAAATTTTGCCTTAAACAATTACGTCTTTTAAATAAATTAAGAAAACAATGTATAGTCTTTTATATTTACCCACACATTTACCATTTCCAGTGCTTTTCATTTCTTCCTGTAGATCTGAGTTTCCATCTAGTATCATTTCCCTTCCCTCTGAAGAATTTTTTTTAAAGCATTTCTTGTAATACAGATCTGCAGGTGATAAATTCTAAGTTTTCATTTATCTGAAATTGTCTTTATTTCACCATCATTGTCAAAGGATATTTCCTTTTGATATAGAATTCTGGATTGATGTTACCTCCCTTCTCTCCGAGTTCAGCTCTAAAAATGTAATTCTGTTGTCCTCTAACCTTCATTGTTTCTGAATCATACCCCCCACCCAACTACCCAATTTGTACTATGTCATTTACTCTAGATGCCTTTAAGACTTTCTCTTTTGCTTTGGTTTTCAGTAATTTGACCATGATCTTCTTTGTATGAATTTCTTTATATATATCCACCTTGAGTTTTGCCAGGCTTCTTGAATCTGTAAATTTAGTCCACCAAATTTGGGGAAATCTCAGCCATTATTTTTTAAATATTTTTTCTGTCCCATTTTCTCTTTCATTTCTTTCTGGGATTCCTATTACATGTACATTAAACTTTTTGATATTGCCCTAAAGGTCAGTAGGGATCTGTTTATTTTTTTCAATAGTTTCTGTCTCTGTTTTTCAGATTGGATAATTGCTGTTAATCTGTTTTTAAATTTGCCAACCCTTCAGCCATTTGGAACTAGCTGTTAAGCCCACTCTGAATTTTTTATTTCAAATTTTGTACTTTTCAGTTCTAGAATTTCCATTTGGTTCTCTTTTTAGAGTTTCTATACCTCTGCTGAGACTTTCCATCTGTTAATTTATTATGACTTTTTTAAAAGTCCTTGAATATGTGTATAATAACTGTTTAAAAGTCTTTGCTATTTCTTCTATCTGAGTCATCTTGGAGTCAGTTTCTATTGTCTACTTTTTCTCTGGACTATGAGTCAAACTTTTCTGTTCCTTTACATATCTGTTAATTTTTTATTGTATACTAGATATTGTGGATAATATATTATAAAGCCTCTAGATTCTGTTGTCTTCCTCTGATGAGTGTTGATGTGTTCTAGTAGATAGTTAACTCAACTAGAATCAAATTCCACCTGAAATTTCTGATCATTTCTTTCAGCAATCCAGCTGTTGGTTTTTGCTGGGCTCCTTGTAATTTCCCCCACGCATGCAGAGTTCAGGAGTCAGCCAAGAGTTTGGATAGAGTATATGTGTATATTTTGGAGCTCTCTCCCTCTATTACTCCCTCCCATTCAGGATTTCCCTCCTCAATTTCCAGCTGCTCTGGGAGTTCCAGACTCCAACCTCTAACTCCTTAAGCCATTAAGACTGGCTTTCTGACTGAGTTCCAGCTGCCTTTCACAGTGCAGACAGAGTAGCACCCTCAGATGAAAAGATGTATGAGCATAACTTACATTTGTTATATTTCAGTTCTTTGAAGAGTGGCCATCCCTTCAATTACTGCCTGCCTGCTTTTGGTTACTTTCCAGTGTCTTCAAATAGTTGTTTCTATATTTTAGCTAAACTTTATAACTTTTATCCATAAAGAAGTTAATCTGATATAACGTCCTATGATATATTTTAATGGAAATGTATCTTTTAGTGAGATGAATGGTGCTATATTTTTGTCAGTGGTTCACATGTTAGTAGAGGAATATTACTTATTGCTAGATAAGACAGGATTCAGCATCAGTTCTATTTGTAGTTTTAGTTTTTATAGACATAAACACTGAGATAATCTGTTCAAATAAATAGATGAATATGGGAAATATTTTGTAACAGCAATGTCACTCAAATCTTTGATCTCCTTCTAAGATATATGCTAAAAATCACATAGTACCTATCACCAAAAATTATTTTTTATGATCTATCATCAGGCATCTCATTTAGGTCCTCCTTTGTTTGAGTTATTCACTGTCTCAATTTCTGGGAAACATACCAAAAATGCTATTAAAAGACTTATAAAATTGTTAATAATTGTACTGTAACTCTTTCATTTCAAGGCACATTATTTTTTAACTCAGAGTTGAGAAAATAGAAATATTAACATTTCTATAGACCTTTTGCCAATGCAATATAATTTGTTAAAATACTTTTATCTTATCATGAGCTTTAAGTATATTTCTGTCAAAACCTTGGAACTGAAGATTTGGCTCATTCAATGTATATAAAACATCTAAATTAAAAGTTAATTGGCAAAGCTAGGTTTCTTATCAATCAATCAGCCAAAGCAGACTTTTTTCAATTCACATAAATATGTTAAAATATATCCCTGGGTCAACATCTCAGTTTTGAATTCTAAGGCTCTGATACTTTCAGTATTTCTCACAGATACTTTTTTTGCTTCATTCCCAGGAGTGCATTCTTTGATAGTAGTCAGGGCTTAAAAGAGGCAAGATCTTTAAATGAAACTTGTCATCGCTCCCACAACCTCACTCTAAAATACCTATGTATTCAGAACATCCTAACACAG